CCTTAACCTAACCCTAAACCTAACCCTTACCTTTACGAGAATCGGCTTGCTTTAAAAGCACTTTTTAAAGCGCCCTTTTTTCTCCACGGTCGTTGTCGCGCTGCTGATGACGTCAGCAACGCGCTTTAATCGGGGGCGCTTTAGTGGACCGCGGTTTTGTCATGCCACGAAACATACATCTTAAAAACAATTAGCAACAACTCATATTTTGTTGCTGCTCACGTGCTGATTTTAACTAATTTTTTTTTTCAGCAAGTGTTGCAACCAGCAAAATATTCTGGAAGGAGATACAGCAAGCAACAACTTATACTATTTAAGTGAGGGGGGGGCTGTTTTGTTCTTGACTGCAACTTAGAACAGAAGAATACATAAAAGTGTGTTTTTGATGGATTGTAGGGCCGACATGAAGAAAAGCTGAAGTTACAGGTAGAACAAGGAAAAGGAAATTGCAACCCCAAGGAATCAGGATCCTCGTACTTTAGATGAGTACAAGAACGTATTTGGATAAGTGTGAGAACAAATCTCACCAGGCCCATCCTGGCTTATAGCTGTTATGAAATTTCTTATGCTCAACATGCCTCTTCCAAGCCTGATCACTCTCCAAATGTCAGATCTGACTCCTAGGGAACTGATGGACAAAAGGCAAATATTGGGGAGGGCAGAGAGAACAGCAGCCAGCTTGAAGTGGCAAGAATGAGCTTTCAAAACAAACATTCCTGGGCCTGCAGAGTCTTTATGAAAGATCGGGATTGCCTGCCCTTAACTGGCAGCAGCAAGCAGAAGGAGAAACATCATGCGCTACAATCACATCTAAGAACAAGTATCAGCAAGCACTGGCTTACAAAAACTTGGAAAATCCCCAGTTCTAATTCACATAACTTTCGAGTGCGGGGAGTGGACAGGTGGGGATTGTTAAGATACGGCCTTACATTGAGGAGTGAATGCTTTATGTTTATTAGTGATCCTCTTTTTGTTTTTTAAGGAATGTATGGTTGCTCATAAACTCTCAGCATCTGCCTGACTCTATTGCTATATGCAACACTTAATAGAATGTATTTATAGCACAGCACATGTGGCTGCCCTCAATCCTGTTAGGTTTGCAACAACCTTATCTGGAAGATTAGGTGAGAGATTGTGAACTTCATAGCTGAGAAGAGATAGGCACTTATTATTCAACACTTACATATTATTATGTGTCCATGTTTAGAGCAATAGCAGTTAGACTTATATACCACTTCATAGGGCTTTCAGCCCTCTCTAAGCGGTTTACAGAGTCAGCATAT